CCGGGAGGCAGGGTCTCCCCCCCACCCCGGCAGCCGCCCAAGAACATGGTGTTTTAAGCCGGTTTTCTTCAAGGCGATAAACGGAGCCAGGGAGATAAATCAGGAGCATCTCTGGTAGCAGGGCCACCCTCCGCTGCAGGGACCGTCACCCTGGCGTCCCCACGGGGACTGGGTCCTGGGTCCCTTGTCCTGCAGCATCCATGGACAGCGGGCAGCTCCAAAACTTGCCGTCGCAGGCAGACGTGGCGGCGGACCTGGGGCAACTGCACCTGCGGGAGCCAACCTGCCCCGAGCCCCCTGTGCCATGTCCTGGCTGAGCCTCTACCCTGGTGCCACCGGGGCCCTCGGCCCCCTGACGCTCCCTGTCTCCCCTCGCAGCTGGTCCGTGGCAGAAGGAGATGGTCCCGGTGCCCAACAGCACGGCGCTGGTGTGGGCTGGCGAGGTGGCACGGCCGGAGCAGGAGCGGTCACCCTGCATGGTCGGCATCTTCCCCATCGTGTATTACAGCGTCCTGCTGGGGCTGGGGCTGCCAGGTGAGGGGTCTGGGGCAGGGGGGGCTGCCTGGGAGCATGGGGGGACAGCACCCACCCGGGTGCTGAGCCCCTGCAAGGGGTACTGAGCTGTGCACCCTCAGCCCAGCCTGTGCCCTCGGCTGCCAGCAGAGCCTCAGCTCCAGTCCCAGCCCCAGGGCTTTTGGTGATGGGGAGGAGAGTCCTCAGGGGTGGGGGAAACCGACCTGCTCCCCACAGCCCCCCTGGCCTTGGGGCCAGCCCCAGCTGCGGTGCCTGGCTGTAAAGCCCAGACCCACGTGGCAGATGCCACAGCAGCAGGGACAGATGGTATTTGCGTTGCTTGGGCTGACACACAGAACAGATTAATCAGCTCAGCAAATCCCCACCACACCATGATATTTATAGCTCCCCACCCCAGCTGGGGCCTGGGGCCGCTCGCCCTGCAGCCCTGGGAGAGCCTGGGCACCCCTGGGGTCCTGGGTGCTGCATGGTGGGGGGGCGGGCTGTGAGTCCTGGGGTCTCACCACTGCACATCGCTCCCCTCCCTCCAGTGAATGTCCTGACCGCCGTGGCCCTGTCCCGCCTGGCCACGAGGACCAAGAAGTCATCCTACTGGTACCTGCTGGCCTTGACCACCTCCGACATCCTCACCCAGGTCTTCATCATCTTTGTGGGCTTCATCCTGCAGACAGCCATCCTGGCCCGGGCGGTGCCCAGCGCCTTCATCCACACTGTCAACGTGCTGGAGTTCACAGCCAACCACGCCTCCATCTGGGTCACCGTCCTGCTGACCATGGATCGCTACGTGGCCCTCTGCCACCCGCTGCAGTACCGCGCCGTCTCCTACCCACAGCGTACCCGCAAGATCATCGCAGCCGTCTTTGCCATGGCTCTGGCCACGGGCATCCCTTTCTACTGGTGGCTGGATGTGTGGCGTGATGCCGACCCCCCCACTGCCCTGGACACGGTGCTCAAGTGGGTGCACTGCATCACCATCTACTTCTTGCCCTGCAGCATCTTCCTGGCCACCAACTCCATCATCATCTGCAAGCTGAAGCGGCGGAGGCGCTCGGGGGGTGGCCGACCCCACCTGAGCAAGACCATGGCCCTCCTCCTGGCCGTCACCACCGTCTTCATCGTGCTCTGGGCTCCCCGGACCATCGTCATGATCTGCCACCTCTACGTGGCCTCGGTCAAGAGGGACTGGCGTGTGCACCTGGCCTTGGACATCGCCAACATGGTGGCCATGCTCAACACCACCCTCAACTTCTTCCTCTACTGCTTCGTCAGCCAGACCTTCCGCCACACAGTGGGTGAGGTGCTCCGGGCCCACCTCCGTCACAGCCCCCGGACCGGCAGCGGCCGCTTCCCACCCCCAGCCCTGAAACCACTGGAGCTGCTGGCCGGCACGGCCCTCTGAGCCGGGGCTGCTGCCAGCCAGAGCGGCACTCGGCTGGGAGTCCCAGTGCTCACCCAGCCCCATGCATCGCCCCAGGACCCGGTGAGACCCTGCCCCAGGGACACTGCCCCTGCGACGCCCGCCCTCCGCAGGGCTGAGGGTTAACATGGGTGCTGGTGGTGGTGGCAAGAGGAGGCGGTTGTGCCCAACCGGATGGTTGCGCTCGTTTGGGGCCATCGGGCTGCCCTGCCTGACAGCAGCACCCGCTGCACCCCAGGGACCCCTGCCCACTCCCTGAGCCGCACCGGGATGGGCAGCTCAGCCCTGCCTGTGCTCAGCTCCTCGGAACATGCAGCGTTCGGCCCCACCCCGGGAAACTCAGCCACGGGGCAGCAGGGACGTGCCGCAGCTGAGTGGCAGAAGCTGCTGCCTGCTCCACGTGTGCCCCTCCAGGCTGGGCTCCTCTCCAGCCCTGCGGCTGTGGGGTTCATGGGGCTTCCATGGCCAGCCACAGCCAGGGAGTGTGACCATGCTCTCAGCTGCACTCCTGCATCAGCTCCAGCCTGTGCTGAACCGACACACCGAAGTTCCCGGGGAACACAGCGGGCACAGCTGCCCCATCGTGAGGGGTGATGGGCGCAGCTGAGCTCCTGCAGGCCCTGGTGAGGACGTGGTGCCCGCTGGGTGCCAGTGAAACGGTCCTTCCTCCATAAACTGCCGTGCTGAGACCAAAACTCTGCCTGGGTCCGGCTCCCTGTGAGCGGCCGGGACGGGGGCACCCTGCACCAGCAGCCCCAGGTACAGGGTCCCTCTGCCCAGCCCCCAGCTCTCAGCACTGCCCACCCCAGTGCTCCTGCCCTGGTGCCCGGAGGGGTGCTGGAAGGGAGCGTCCACGGGGTCCAGTGGCCCCAGCTGCAGGGCTTGGGCATACGGTAAGACCCCAGCTCTGGGCTCTGCAGGAGCCGGCCCCCACCCATTATTCCCCCAGAGACACCCAGGAGAGCCGCCCTGCAAAGCTGCAGCTCCCGGGCACCCCGGGTGCACCCCAGCACAAGGGTGCAGCATCTCCCACCGGCTGCAAGGGAAGGGGCTCACGATGCCCCCCCCCTGCATCGAGTGCACCCAGCACCAGTGCCACCTTCCCAGTTACACCAGTGCCAAGCTGGTGCGATGCTGGGCAAGTGGCCGTGCTGGGCTGTGCCAGCCTGCCTGTCCCCAGCTGCCACCAGAGGGCAGGGACGGGACGCCCTGTGGAGCTGGCACAGCCCGGGAGCAGGGAGCTGGTATCCCCAGCCCCCCCTCACCACCCCTGCCTGTCCCACTCCCCAACCTAATTCCCCCGTAAGGTCCTTACCATATCCCCCCCCTTCCCCCCCCCCCCACCCCCCAACCACTTCCCCCCAAAT